AGTAGCATCATCACACACATTTGCAATTCAATTCTATTAATGAATTGCCTTAAAACCGAACAGATTGACGTTTTAATAGAATCGTTTAACATTATATGCAACTACATAAACAACCGCAATCAAATTGAATTTGTAATATATGCAACCAATTAAGCTATGTACTNNNATGTTACTTGCAATGCACTGAATGTGCTGCCAACGCAAATACTACGCACATGTTGCCAACAGTTTCGAAACAAAAGTCAGTTGACAAGTGCGTCGGGAGTTGATAGCATCATCACACACATTTGCAATTCAATTCTATTGCACAAACAGGTATGTTCTCTGTTGAGTTACGTTCGAATCATTTACTCCTCATTGCGAAGTGCGTGAAAGTGTAAAAAGTTGTGGACGAAAGCAAACAAAAAAAAAATTGCGAACGTTAATTGAAGAGGAAACTCGTACATACACACAAAAAAAAACAAAAGACGCTCTCGTGTACAACCTGCAAAAACGTCAGGACTCTGATTTAACTCTCGATTAAATTAAGGTGAGTTTAATTTCATAAAAAGCAATTATAATTAATTGTGATTGCGTTTATTAATTGTTTGTTTGTTTGTTTTTTTCGGGGCTTTTGATTAACGGTGTTTTCTGCCTTCAGTTGTTTTTGCAAGGCGTTGTTATGCGGAAAGAGGATAACCTGAAGACGAGGGTTTGCGTCCAATACGACGATCACTCGAGGCTGATGTGTTCGGTTCTTTGCTCGCTGATGGAGCATCAAAGTTTGGTGGATTTGGCTATAAGATGCGGGAACAACACGATGCACGCTCATAAATGTATATTGGCTGCGAGCAGCCCTTATTTTAGGGTGAGTATTTTCTAATAAATTGGTGATTAATTTGCTTAAGAGAATGTTTTTGTATTGGTTAGGAGCAACTGGAGAAGAATCCTGGTACGGAGCAAGTGATTATCAACGGGTTGGATTTTGTTATAATGAAATCTGTAATTGAATTCATCTATTGCGGTGAAACGAATATATTGGAGGAGCATTTGAAGCATGTCGCGGCTGCGGCGAAGCTGTTTCAGATTGGCGGTTTGCAGGCTTTGGCACCGGAAGTTAATTTCGATTCGGGTAAATTATTATTTATACTACTTTATGTACAGCTGTGGTTAACTTTAAGTGTAATTGGATTTATTTCGTAGATGAATCTATACAGATTCCGGCGCCGATTTTCATGAACAAGAAGCCGAAGTACTCGAGCGCGTACGTGCCTTACGTGCAGACGCAGAACGTGCCGATGGAGAAGCACGCTATACCTTTGCAAACGGATCCGACGTACAGGAGATTGAAGAGGAAATACGTGAAGACGACGAATATTTTAGAAGCGGAAAAAGCGTGCGCGCGCGAAGCTCGAGCCAGCAGATTGGCTTTGGAGGCGTTGAAGAAGGAATTGGGACCGTCGAATCAGATACACACATTCGAAATTGAAGACAGCTGCACGGAGACGACGGTGGAGAACTTTATACCGCACGGCGAGGAGGAGTCTTTTATGAACGAGCTGGAAGGAATGCCGCTGCAGGTGGTGAATTACTCGGATCTGGCGTCTCCGATTTTAACCACCTCCGGGCAAATAATCAATCTGCCGAAGGGCTTATCGAACAGCATCATACCGTTCGAGGTGACGAGCGAATCGGAGAAGACGATAGAGAAAATCCGAGACGTTTTCTGTCAGGAAATGCAGACGAACGTCGAGATCATGTACAAAACGCCGGAAGGTGAGTTCGTTAAGGTCACCGATGAGGTTTTGCGCAACATAACCGGCGACACGCTCCAATTTCAAGTGATCGACGAGAACGGTCGTGAAGGGGAGATCCAGTTGCTCGACGACAAGATCAAAATGAAACCGGAAAACAATCAGGACGAAGTGGATGTGGGCGCTGGAAGTGGCGATGGTAACAATCAAAACGACGATTCGAAGAATCAGAAAGGGAAAACTAATAACAAAAAGTACGAGGATGAAGATTCTTTCGCCGATTTCATCAACAGTTCGTTTCCCGAAGAAACCGTAAATCACGGCAGTCCGGATCTGAACGGGATGCTTCTGAAGCTCGGATCAGCAGAGAAGGCGGATGCGGATGATCGAAGATCGGAACGATTGATCGACGAGGATCACACCGATATTCTCAAGGAAATCAATTCGATGCAGTATTACGATAAGAGCGTTTATGAAGATGTAGCGGAAAAGATAGAGTCGGCTTTCGAAAGTGAGCAATTGGAGAAAAGCAATGATGAAGACGCGCCCAACAAGAAGATTAAGTGCAAGAAGACTGTCGAGGGTGGAGGCGGTGATGAGCCGGAACCGCGCTACTCCCCAAGGAAGACCAGATCGAATAAGTTGAGCGCCACTTTGGAGGACGTCTTCAAAAGCTTGGAGAACAAGAAACGTGCCATCGCCAAGAAGAAGTAATACGTAATGCATATTCTTATTTATTTATTTTTCTCTCACATTAGTTAACTTCAAACTTTAATTAATAAATAGACGTAGATTATTCTTACTAATTAGTCAATAATCTCATAAATTGCAAACTAGATTGAGTTTTAAAATATGAATTGAATTGAAGCTAACGGAAAAACAAAAGACGAATCCTTCGATCTCTGCGATTGCTGCAATCTCTCTCTCCATAATAACATAGATATATGATTATTGAAATTGGAGATCGATGAAGAGCGAGAACAAATAGATAAACTCAATTAACATCGACCGCAAAACTTGCGAAACTTGTTCATTACATTCAAGGTTTTTCCTACAAAACATTTGTTTTCATCGAATGAATGAATCTCTGGTTATATGCTGACGTGGATGCGTTTTGTTCGAGTTTATTAAACCCATCGGAGGTGTGTGTGTGTCCATCCAGTTTGGAGACAATCACGATCATGAATGTGGGCGCACCACAGCGAAACGTTGCCACATCGGATCGTTAAAAGTGACGAAACGAGAGCGAGATACAGATGAGAATTACGTAATTCGCGGTTCAATAACACATCGTTCTAAATGCATAGTTTCCATAACTTCATTAACGTAATTTAATAAAAAAAATAGCGTTAATTAAGTTACATTTTTTATTTCAAGTTAATAGTTAAGATATTTGAAGATATTTAAGAAAATATTAAAATCGTCTACAGCGCCTCCCAACGATCGGTAACATAAATAAAGTGCATAAGGTGTTGCATAATTCATGCGCGATAAATAACCGAAAATCGTTATCCTTGACTTTTCGCGACCAGAAAAGCGCGCACGTAAATCTGCTAATTAAAAAACGACCTCAGTCGACCTTCACAAATTTTGTTCTCTCGCAATTTCCCAAAAGTAAAATCCATGGAAATCTTTCATTTTTTAAGATATGAAATTACTAATTTTACATTTAAAATAAGACATGAATAGCGTTAATTGTGATCTATACTAATGCTACATAATTATTTAATGGAGATATTGCCTTGCCTCTCCGACATTGGCCGCCTTTTTCGATAGATATAGAGACAGAGAGAGAACGCAAGGTGAAACGCGCCACCAAAACGTAGCAACAACAACAATCTTATTTTCAAATAACATTTCGTTATTCTTATATAAACTATTTCGTGACAATTAGTATTAGCTAAAAAAATAGAAGAAAATATAAAGCATCGCCTTGGAAATGATCAATTTATATGTTATTGATCATAACCATGGCAACAAAACTATAAAATCTCTATTAGGGTGTTACTAACGCATATTGTGTTGCATAATTATGACTATGAAACGGTGGCAATCGCAAGCCCGACAACCGAAATCCCGTCTATCGAAATCTCGACAGTCTCTTTTATTATTATAAATTTCTACAATAACATTTTTATTGTAGTCGGGATTTCAAGCGTCGGGATTTTAATACAATCGGGATTTCGCACGTCGGGCTTGCGATATAGACCCGTATGAAATCTACATGCTGATGTATCATTAGTGCTTATTATATTGCATAATTACGAATTGTCAAATTAGAAATGAAATCTTGAATCTACGTAGTCTATTTTTTTTTTCTTTTTAAAAACTAATAATTAGTGACTTTATTAAGCTTCGTATTAAATCCGTCGATGATTTATTATCGTATTGGTGGATAATAATTGCAAATGAAAAGCGTTGCCATGACTTCAAAACGCGATACGTAATTGGTCGGCTTTATATATTACCTCAATGAGTATTATAATCCGATGATTAATTGGCAGCCTTGTATTTCATTCAAGTGTTCACATCACATCGAGATGATGTACACTTTACGAGCATAAACATAATTATTATACAAAAAAACACTTTTACTTCTATTACTCTCATTAATTAACGATATTTTATATAAATTGTAATGTAATTGGATGTAAAATAATGAATCGAGATAATGGATTGAAATCGTAATGAGAAAGAAAATCGTAATATTTAAAAAATGAATTGAACATCTGTTGATGATATTTTCAATTTTCTCAAATGATTTAAGGGTTGATGAAAAAATAGAAATGACATCTATTAGTGACTTTTCCTATTATATTTTGACACAATCCATTAATTAAATTAGATTCTAGTTTTTTTTTTATTGAATGAACTTGATTAAGTCACGATCGATAATAATCAATTGATTCCCTTGAAATTATGTAAATTTCAATAATTTATAGTTAATTTGTAAAAATGACCTCTTCATCAATTGTTTGTGTCTTTTTCCGGACGCGTTTCTAATATGGAATTTTCGTTGTTGTTTTTTTTTTGTTTAATTATTTATTGTAACCATGGTAATGACTTATTTGCGTATCGCGTGTTATTAATTTAATCGTTGCATGGTTGGTGTCGATGTTCGACTATTTTTGGCGAGGTGAAGGTTGGTATGCATGGGAAACGCGAAGAGGCATGCATTTGTTTCTTATTTTGGCGAGGAACGACCGGAACCTTGGCACATCGTCAGAATTAATGAGTGAGAGGTCAAAGACAAAGAAAAAAAAATTATTATAAACATGCAATTTAGTGAACTCGATAATTTTTATATAAAGCAGTTCCAGATTTACACGCGAGATGCGGATTTGTGTGATTATCTCAATCAAAAACTAAATTACGAAAATATTTATCACACCTGTTTCTGTAAATTGAATTCTTGCTCAATCGAGTCGGATTGATTTTCATTGCTAGGTTACAAGAAAAAAAATAAATAACAAGAGGAGGCTGAGAAAACAAACATAATGTGGGACACGGACACTGTCCATAATTCCGTTTCTCGGTTGTTATGGTTACAACCTATATTTGTTATTAGGCTTGTGTCTATGGTTATGTTGGTTGATTGACCGCACCCGAGGGACGTCGATTCCAATTAGCGAAAGTGTGCCGTGCGCCCTTAATTCAAATTCCATTAATTACGTCGATCCGGCGCGTTACGTAATTGGGTCTCTCACCTCTCGAGCTCGTTCGCATCTGCAGCATCAGAAACGGTTTCGCTTTCGTTTCGAGAACAACGCTCAGCGGGGTATCAATATCATTTTCTTGGTCAACACTTTTGTTTTTTTTTTTCTTCTTCTTGTTCTCATTTCTTTTATTCTTCGTCATTCTTTCACGATTATAATTGATGTTTACATTAATATTTACGAGCTGTCAATTAGGGAATTAGGACGCATTGCATTCTTTTGTTTTATCGGATTGGAACGATCGATTAACGTAAACATTGACAGATGCAGTCAAAAAGACGTAAGGTTTTCAAAATGTTGTCAAGTATATTGAGTTGCATAATTATGACTATGACAATATTATAAAAGAGAGATTTAGTTGTCAAAAAGACATAAGGTTTTCAAAATGTTGTCAAGTATATTAAGTTGCACAATTATGACTATGACAATATTATATAAGACAAGTGTATTTAGTGTGTCAAAAAGACATAAGGTTTTCAAAATGTTGTCAAGTACATTGAGTTGCATAATTATGACTATGAAAATATTATAAAAGACAAGTGTATATAATTGTCAAAAACACATAAGGTTTTCAAAATGTTGTCAAGTATATTAAGTTGCATAATTATGACTATGACAATATTATAAAAGACAAGTGTATTTAGTTGTCAAAACGACAAGGTTTTCAGAATGTTGTCAAGTATATTGAGTTGCATAATTATGACTATGACAATATTATATAAAACAAGTGTATTTAGTTGTCAAAAAAAACATAAGGTTTTCAAAATGTTGTCAAGTATATTAAGTTGCATAATTATGACTATGATAATATTATAAAAGACAAGTGTATTTAGTTGTCAAAAAGACATAATGTTTTCAAAATGTTGTCAAGTATATTGAGTTGCATAAT